ACGTGGAACTTATTTAACCAAACATAATTCTCATTCATCAAGGAATAACAAGTGTAGTATCCACTAAAGCAAAGCTTAAGTATATAACACCAACAGGACCATCTGAAACACAACCTCTTCGGAGATCCACAAGGGTTTCTAGGGTACCTGAGAGGCTGTACCTATTGTTAGAGAACAAAGAAGAGAGACTCCTTTTGGATAATGATCCAATAAGCTATGAGGAGGCAATGTCAGACATTGAGTCAGATACATGGCAAGAAGCTATGCAATTTGAAATGGACTCCATGTATTCAAATAAGGTATGGACCTTGGTTGATCCACCACAGGGTATAGTACCCATAGGTTGTGAATGGGTTTACAAGCGAAAACGTGGTGTAGATGGAGAAGTGAATACTTTTAAAGCAAGACTGGTTGCTAAAGGTTATAATCAAAAACAAGGAGTTGATTATGAGGAAACTTTTTCACCAGTAGCAATGCTTAAATCCATTCGGATATTGCTTGCTATAGCTGCGTATTGTGACTACGAGATATGGCAAATGGATGTGAAAACTGCCTTTCTTAATAGAAACATTAAGGAAGACATTTATATGAAACAACCGGAGGGTTTCATATCCAGTGGGAGCGAACAAATGGTTTGTAAGCTTCAAAGGTCGATTTATGGACTTAAACAAGCTTCGAGGAGTTGGAACATTCGGTTTGATGAAACGATCAAAACGTTTGATTTTCATAAGAACCTGGATGAACCATGTGTTTACAAGAAGGTTAATGGGAATGCAGTTACCTTTGTTGTACTCTATGTTTATGATATCTTACTCATTGGGAATGATGTAGGGATGTTGCAATCAACACGGACATGGTTGTCAAAACAATTTTGCATGAAAGATTTGGGAGAAGCATCTTTTATCTTGGGATAAAAATCTATAGAGATAGATTTAAAAGGATGATTGGACTATCCCAGTCAATGTACATAAATAAGGTGCTAAAACTGTTTAGCATGGAAGAATCCATACGTGGATATATTCCAATGAGTCATGGGGTTTCACTTTCTAAGATGATGTCTCCAAAGACACCTGAAGAAAGAGAACAGATGAGTCATATACCTTATGCATCAGCTATTGGTAGCATTATGTATGCGATGTTATGTACAAGACCTGATGTGGCTTATGCACTTAGTGTAACGAGCAGATATCAGTCTAATCCAGGTGAAGAACACTGGAAAGTGGTTAAGATGATCCTTAAGTACTTAAGAAGGACTAAGGATATCTTTATGGTGTATGGAAATGGAGAACTGAAACTAGAAGGCTTTACTGATTCTGGTTTTCAGTCGGATAAAGATGACTTTAAATCCATGTCTGGTTACTTGTTTACTCTGAATGAAGCAGCAGTTAGTTGGAAAAGTTCCAAACAAAAAACAATTGCTGACTCTACGACAGAGACTGAATATATTGCTGCATCTGATGCTGCAAAGGAAGTTGTTTGGAT